ACAAAGAGCACCAGCTGGATGTCTTTAGCATCTGACAGTCCCATAAAGATGAAGTAAGGCACCTTAGTGTTATTCCATCTATGCATTGTGCTCCACTGCTTTTACCTGTTGAGAAACAGAGTTCATACATAGCAGAAATGACTTCAAAAAAAAGTATTCCTAATGGGCATGGTGATAATGCAATGTGTGGTCAACCTAGAGGGACCAATTTCCAAAGAGAGCCACATGGCTTGTGTCCAAGGACAAAAGCTCAAGGACTCTATGTATGAGTACATAGTTGCCTCTTCCCTTAGAAACCAACTAATGAAGAGCCTGGTGTGGACTTGTATTGTGGAACTCTAAATTTCTGACAAAGACAGTAAAGAAACTATTTTTAGATACAACCTTAGCTACTCTATTTTGAAACCATCAAATGGAATGATTTATTTTCCATAGAGAAATATTATATATAATGTGATTATGTATTGATTTTATACAGAGCATAGACAGTTGATGCATCAACAAAGTGTATTATTCACACTCACTATTACTCTGAAACAAATAAAAATTAAGCTCCTTGTCTCCCAAGTAAGATGATAAAACACTTATTTTGTAGCATCTTTTTATATGTGGTTGATATTATTCATATAAAGATCATAACCACACCTCCTCCTAAGCAGTTTCCACATGTACACGACAACTCTATCATCCATTGCTCTTTCTTCACTCACTCTGATATACACACCTACACACACACATGTGAGCACATGTGCACAATACAATGTCTGAGAGTGTTAGTTTGTTAAGGTGGCTATAACCAAATGCCACAGACTAGAAGCTTAAGCAACAGCAATTTATTTCTCACTGCTCTACAGTGGAGAAGCATGAGACCAAGATGAAGTCAGGGCTGATTTCTGGTTAGGTCCCTCTCCTTCCCTTGTAGGCAGACCTCTTCTCTTGTATGTTGACGTGGCCATCACCCTCCATGTTTCTATGCTGCGATCCTTTCTTCACATGACACCAATCCTAATGGGTAAGGGTACACTTTAGAATGAATTTTAAGTCATTAATACTTACCTGAGCAAAATCCCTCTTACTCTAGGTACATGCAGAATTACCAGGAGTTAAGTCTTTAGCATATGTATATTGGTATATATAAATATATATTTACAAATATACATATATATAGTATATAAATATGTTTACATACAGAGTCAAGTATTTGTGTAAATACATGGTATTAATCTTCATAACTATATGATTTGATTAGACTTCAATAGTTTCAAGAAATTAATTTTATTATAATGGCATTTGACTAGCCTGACAATTACCATGTAATTCATAGCAAAACCACAGCTTTCATATTTCCTTGTCATGTTTGGCAAACTTTTTGGCAGCCTGCTCCCTCCTCAGATGAATGCATTTCACCTATCTAAACCTATCCAAGTTCCTGAGTCAAGACCACACTGGATTCTAAGAATGCACATTTTCCTATTTCCTCATTTCTCAGGGAATATGTGGACTGAACTCAGGCATTTATAAACTTTACACTTAATTTTTAAGAATGACAAGAGATCAGCAACCTCAAGGATATGCTGCAGCAGTGTGGACAATTTGTCTCTTCCCACAACAGAGTCCCTGCCCATCTGTGTGGGTCTCCCTAAAGAGCTGGTACCATTCAGTGTTACCTGTGCTTTCTTTGACACTCCCACTCTGTGATGCCTTACAGAGGCCAAGAACCAAGTAACATATCTTAAATTACCACAAATCACATCTCACACAAAATATTATAAATACTGATATAACAAGGAAGTTATTGAAATTAAGAAATGCAAAAATTTGATATTGCCATAGATCATGCTACACATATGCAATAACATTATATAAGTGTTTTCTATATGTTATAAAGAGAACAGGGTTTCTTAAGCATTGCCTAAAGTTAGTGTTGTTTACAAGAGTATTGGCTCTATTGATTACCTTTGTAAAACACATTTACTCATCACAGAAAAAGACTAAATGAAAAAACAGGGTGAAAAAATAGTATATAAAAAGTCACAAAAATGTAGAAGTATACAAATATTTAAAAGAAGGCATTACTTACAAAAGATGAGAAATGATCCAATATCATATTATTGAATAATAATTATCAAATATTTATCTCCAGTCTCTATAATGTCAACATAAAAATAAGTAATAATTATATTAAATGGGTGTTTAATATGAGACATTTTAAAAAATTAATATAATATGAAGTGTGGAGAAAAATATCCTAACTTTAACTTGATTTCAGTTTGTGAGTCAATCCAATCTGATTATTACACTATCATTTACGGGAGCAATTCACATTTTTAATACAAACATGAACAAGACTTCTTAAAAGCTGAATGAAAACAATATATCTAGTAACCATTGAGAAGTATAAACAAAATAAAAATCAACCACTTGCAATATGGAAAATTACCCTCTTTAATAATATTTAAAATAATACTAAAACTATCATAAAATGAGATATTCTGGGGCCTCCCTGGTGGCACAAAGTGTTGAGCGAACTGCTGTGAAGCTGTCTGCAGCCTCTGCAGCAGTAGTTCCACACCCAGCCCCAGAGCGACCCACATGGCACAGCAGACCTCTCCTGACTCTCCAGCTGCTTTCCTCAGCAGTATACTTCTGTCCATCTGCTCGTTCTGTTCCCCGTTCTGTTCCCCGTTCTGTCTCTGGTGACTCCTCTCACCCCCAACACCTCTGGTCTGTACCCCAGTTCTTGTAATCATAAATAAATAAATCTTAAAAAAAATGAGGTGCTCTGATGTTGGAATATTGCAACACAAATCAACCATTCCATATTATGTCAAGAAAACTCTGTATTTTATCATTTTATTCATTTATTTATTTATAGAGGAACAATCCATTTACAACACTGTAGATGATTTAGGGGAATAGATTCACAGCTCCTAAGTTGTATGTCATCAAACACTCCAAACATGAAATCACCGACTACCCTAGATCATTGGGCACTCTCCCACCTATATTTCACCCCCTTCCATGCAGTACCTCATAGCTTCAGTTCTGCAATCAAATTTCTAGAGATTATTTGGCTTTAGTTTGTTCCTTTGTTATTTTTTCTTGTAGATAAAATCTTTTAAGTGAAGGGAAGTTGAGTACTCTCTATGACTAAAGTTAATGGTGGCCACATAATCTGAACATATTGACCTTTCATAGCTTTACAACTTTATTTGATAAAAAATGTAAAACAATGAGTGAAGCATTTATTTCAATACTTCACTTGTAAAGAACATAACAAATTTAGAAACCAAGAGAAAGACAATGGTATATTACAATGTACAGAATAATTAAAAATTAGCAGTGACTGATGCTGTTAACATGTTACAGAAAGGTAGGGACTGTATTGATAATTGTTTTTTCAGGTAGGAACCAAAAATATTGTATTATATGTGGAGTTTCAAATTAATGCATGTGCAATATTTCAGGTCCTTATCAATGAAATATGGGAGCCCTGGTTGTTTTCATGGACCAAAATTGCATTCATCTTACAATGTTTCAATGACAAAGGAATTAAAATAAATTTCAAGTGTATCAGAAATTTGTAAAAAAGAGAATAAGACAGATGAGAATTTTTTTTTTTATACATGCAATGTCTGGCACACAAACTTAACTAAAGAATGGACACTAGGGGCCTCCCTGGTGCGCAAGGGGTTAAGACACAACCTGTGAAGCTGTCCACAGCCACTGCAGCATGAGTTCAATCCCCAGCCAGGGAGCTACCCACATGACACAGCGGACTTCTCCTGACTTGCCTTCTGCCCCACTCAGTAGTGTATTTCAGTCAATCTGGCTGTTCTGTTTCCTACTCTCTCTCTTTTTGAATCCTCTCACTTCCCCCCCATACCTCTGGCCTGTACCCCAGTTCTTGTATGCATAAATAAAAAGATCTTTAAAAAAAAAGAATGGAGACTAAGCTGCCAGTAAGTATCAGGAAACTTCTATTTCCTTATAGTTTTTAATATTTTTATGTTCTCCAATATTAACATACCATTCAAAGTCCAAATTTGTGAAGTTTTGAGATTTTCCTTTTTTTATTTTTATTTTATTTTATTTTTTAGCATGTTTATTTTATTTTATATATATTTACATCATTTTTCATTTTGACATAATGTATGCATTTTCATTTTCATCTTGGTTATAGTCCCAATGCAACTCCCACACCCCTTGTTTTGATCCTACTCCCTCCTCCCCCACCCATGCCCCCAGTAGTGTGTCTCTGATTTATAGTTGCTGGTTGACTTTCCATTGTTTATGTGCTTGTTAATTAAATTAATCAAAGGTAATTTAAACAAAAAAGTGCAATTCACTAGAAATGTGCATTCAAAAATAACAAGAATGAAGTCTTATGATGATGAACAATATTTACCAGAAATGCCTTCAATGTTTTACATCCATCATATGGTTAAATCTTTACAATAACTCAATTAACCTGGAAATATTATTTATCTTCTGCAGTTTTAGAAACTGAGGCTAAAAATTGAGTGAATTATTAAAGCTTTAATGCTAAAAAGGTAAGCAGATAAAGATTTAAATTCAGGGTCTGAATGCAAACCAAGTATACATACCCACACTGCTTAAATTCTTCTGAATATAATGGATTAAATGCTTTCTGAAACTGTTTTTATTGTGCAAAACAAAGAACCTTTTCATGATAAAATTCTTTGATATTAGCCATACAAAGGAATTGGTATGGTAAATATATAAAAGATGACAATTATCTTCTCATTTTCTGAAGAGGTTGCATGTGACTTTATCAGTAAATACAGGACCTATTCTGTGATTTTCATTACAATGTGGATTTTTAAAGAAATAATCCTTGAAAGACCTAAAATCATATTTGTTCAAGTTACAGTGGGTCACAGATTCAAAAGCAAATGAAAGGAGTCAATTGTTTTAGAGGCCTTAAGAAAATGCCCTATAGGGAAGAAGGAAAAGAGGAAATTACAACCTCAGCATCACTATTTCAAGTGCCTGGACCCCTGTCTCTTTTTCAGGAGTCTAAGAACAGCATTTTTCACTTCTTTGTTACGAACACTATAAATGAGGGGATTCAGCATGGGGGTCACAATTGTATAAAACACAGAAGCCGCCTGTCCATTACCCAAGGAGTAGGATTTCTTTGGTTTTAAATAAGTGAAAATCAGAGTGCCATAGAAAATGGTGACCGCCAAGAGATGAGAGGCACATGTGGAAAAGGCTTTTCTCTTTCCTGAAGCAGAATTAATTTTCAAGACAGTAGAGAGAATGGACACATAGGATGCTGATAACATGACAAGAGAGACAATGAGGGTGGAACCACCAAAAATGAAAATCCTGAGTTCAGTGTCGAGGGTGTCAGAGCAAGACAGGGCTAAAATTGGGGATAGGTCACAGAAAAAATGATGGACTACATTGGAGTTGCAGAAGTCTAAATTCTTCATACCAAGCACAGTGACTAAGGAATCTATAAAGCCTATTATATAGGACCCCAAGACAAGGGAGCAACAGCGTCTGGTGGACATGACAACCGGGTAGTGGAGAGGATTGCAGATGGCTACATAGCGATCATAGGCCATGGAGGAGAGAAGAAAACACTCAACACCAGTCAAGAAGATAAAAAAGTACATTTGAGTGAGGCAATTAACATAGGAAATCTTGTTGGAGGTCAGTAAATTCCCTATTGTTTTAGGAGTGATGACAGATGAGTTACTGAGGTCGATGAAAGACAGGTGACTGAGGAAAAAATACATGGGGGTGTGAAGTTGAGCATCCAGGCGGATGACCATTATCATCCCTGCATTCCCCAGCACAGTGACCAGGTATAACAGGAGAAACAACACAAAGAGCACCAGCTGGATGTCTTCAGCATCTGTCAATCCCATAAGGACGAAGTAAGGCACCTTAGTGTTATTCCATCTATGCATTGTGCTCCACTGCTTTTACCTATTGAGAAACAGAGTTCATACATAGGAGAACTAACTTCAAAAATGTGTTTCTATAAATGATTTGGCATGTGCATATTAATTTAATATTTCTAGTAAGATAATAAAGGGTGGCTTATAGGATATGACGGAAAAAATAATTTTTGCGGAGTTTAGAAATGGGTATAAATTGGTAATTGGACATGATTTAATAAAACTGGACATATTATTTGAATAAAACTGTGTTCTAAATGTTTTCCTTTCTCAATGCGTTTATTCCACATGAGAATAACATGCCATAGATATGACTGTTAGTCACATTTATTAGATAAGGAAAATGACATAGTTCAATAAATTGATCCTGAGTCAGAGCATTTTAATGATGACTCTGTGAGTTCTGAGATAGACTGACTCCATAGAACATATTCAAATATTGTATTCCTCATTGTGATTAATTCCAGCAAGACTATAAAAACGATTTACATATATAACACGATGATAGGAATATGGTTCTAGGTGATCATTTACTTACTTTTTCCCTTGAATAGCATTTTATACAATTGACAAAAAAATCTCAACCTTAAAGGACTTCAGTGCAGTTTATTAGCATAATTAACTAATTAATATAATTTTCTTTTTTCAAAAAATGGGAAATATTTCCCAATTTGACCTTTTAAATCAAATTATGCTAAAAATACATTATAAAATCTAACATTGCTTGGAGTCCCTGATTCCATCAACTCCATGCTTCTGTCTTCACAAGTACAGGCATCACATGGGGTCTTGTGCTAATAATGTGTATACATATTCTTCTGATATGTATCATTTCTTTGTTCCCACTAAAACCCTGGAATTTTTAAAGCAATACTTACTGTGAGCCAAAGCTGGTTGAAAACACAAAAACCTTCTTCCAGTGTATCAATCCAGAAATGGTTCAACTGAAATGTTTCATTACAAATAAAATATGAAAACCATTTGTCTAAAATTTCTGTAATATAATAGATGTATTCTTTGAGATAAGTTCTTTTTAATTATTTGGGCATGCATTTTATTTATTCTGATGTAATAATAAAATAATCTAAGACTTTTGTTAAGTCCCTGGTCAAGTAGAAGTTTGCTGGCTGTGACTGAAGTCTAAAGAATATTAGGGGGCTACTGAGAATAGAGCAGAGCAGGGTTCCCTTGTCTCTCATCCTGATGATTCCAGGGCACCTCATATATTGGGCATGGTGATAATGCAATGTGTCATCATCCTTGGGAGACCAATTTCCAAAGAAGGCTGCATGGCTTGTGTCCAAGGACAAAAGCTCAAGGACCCTAGGTTTGAGTACATAGTTGCTTCCTCCCTTAGAAATTAACTATTGAAGAGCCAGATGTGGACTTGTATTGTGGAGCTCTAAATTTCTGACAAAGACAGTAAAGAAAATGTTTTTAGATACAACCCTAGCTACTCTATTTTGAAACCATCAAATGGAATTATTTATTTTCCATAGAGAAATATTATTTTATATATAGAATATGATTATATACTGATTTTATACAGAGCATAGACAGTTCATGCAATAATAAAGTGTATTTTCACACTGACCATTATTCTGAAACAAATAAAAATTAGGCTCCTTGTCTTCCAATTAAGATGATAAGACACTTATTTTATAGCATCTTTTTATTTGTGGTTGATAATTTTCATATAAAGATCATAACCACACCTCCACCTAAGCAGTTTCTACACATACACAGCAACTATATCATCTATTTCTCTATCATCTATTGCTCTTTCTTGACTCACTCTGATATACACACCTGCACACACACATGTGAGCACACTTCAGTGCCTGAGTGTATAGATTTGTTATGGTGGCTGTAACCAAATGCCACAAACTGCGAGCTTAAGCAACAGCAATTTGTTTCTCACTGTTCTACAGTGGAGATGCATGAGATCGAGATGAAGTCAGGGCTGATTTCTGGTGAGGTCCCTCTCCTTCCCTTGTAGGCAGACCTCTTCTCTTGTGTGTTGACATGGCCATCATCCTCTATGTTTCTGTGCTGTGATCCTTTCTTCTCATGACTCAAGTCCCATTGGGTGGGGGGCCCTCTTAAGAACTAATTTTAAGTCAATACTTACCTGAACAAAAATCCTACTACCACAAATAATACAGAAGTACCTGGAGTTATCTCATCACCATATGAATATTGGTTTATATGAATGTATATTTACAAATATACATACATATATATATAGTGTATAAACATGTTTACATACAGAGTCAAGTATATGTTTAAATACATAGTATTAACCTTCATAAACATATGATTTAATTAGACTCCATATTTGCAGGTAATTATTTTATATAATGACATTTTACTAGCCTGGCAATTACCATGTAATTCGTAGCAAAACCACATCTTGCATATTTACATGTCATGTTTGGCAATGCATTTCATGAATTCATGAATGCATTTGATGAATGCATTTCACTGATCTAAACAAAGTCTGTCATTCAGGGACTATAGATAATGTGTCCAAGCTCCTGAATCAAGACCATGCTGGATGCCAAGGATGCACACTTTCTTATTTTATTTCTCATCCAGGGCCTGGGCAATATGTCCATCCTCATTTCTCATGGAATACCACTGGGCACTGGGCATTTATCTAAATTACTCTTAAATTCAAGAATGGCAAGAGATGAGCAACATTCAAGGGTAAGCTACAACAGTCTGGCCGATTTGTCTCTTCCCTCAACTGAGTCCCAGCCCATGAGTTTGGGTCTCACTGAAGAGCTGGTCCCACTCAATGTTACCTGTGCTTTCTTTGACACTCCCACTCTGGGATGCAGTTGCAGAGGCCAAGAACCAAGAAACATTATGTCTTGTTTAGCCCTGCATCCACAGACCACACTTCCGTTGTAAGAGTATGAATCCTTTAAACTTAATATGAAGTGGCAGTGGTCTTTCTTCCCTCTTTCCATTATTATTTTTATCATCATCTATTGTTGTTATTTTTATCCTTTTAGAAGTCAGAAAAGTCTCTTTCAAGCACAAAGTAATCAAAAGGTATTTCTCTAAAGGTGAATATTAAGATTTAATAACACTTTAACAGTGCTAACACAGAATATCCCTAATCACATATATTCCCTTCACAAGAAAAGAAAACCAATGATAAATGTACTAATGAATATAGGTAAGAAATGCCAGCAGGTCTAATTTAGCAATAAAATAAAAAGGAATATCCAAGAGTCTATTTACTCTATGTCTGTTTCATTATCTGTAAAATCCTGCCATCTGATTCACTGAGGCCCTGCTCTGGGTGCTGGTTATATCATATTGACCAAAGTAAGAAAATTCTGTAGTCATTACATAATTGTCAATTTAAGGGAACAGACAAGAAACAAAAAGCATGAACTAAATATAGCAAATGTAAGCTGGAGATATTTTTAATTATTTATTTTATTTTATTTTAACATTTATCATTTTTTAAATTTTTTAGACAATATTTGCTTCTCCCCAACCCCTCACATTGAATCCCCATAGAATTTCTTTCCCCAAGGTACCCATGCACCATCACCACAGTCCCCTGTGCTCCTCCCTCCCTCCCTCTTATCCTTCTCCCTCCTCTTCCCCTGCAGGATGTCTCTGGTTTATAATTGTCTGCTTTTGCTTTGTTGTGTTTTGTACTGTTATTATTATTTTTTACACCAATGTCTAATTTGGTTCCCCTATATTCCTGCTACAACTGAAACCATCTGATATTTTTCTTTTTCCTTCTGGCTTATTTCACTGAGCATAATTCCTTCTAGCTCCATCTACGTTGCTATGAATGGCATGAGTTTATCTTTTTTGATTTCTGAATATTCCATTGTGTATATATACCACATCTTCTTGATCCAGTCATCTATTTTTGGGCATTTGGGTTGTTTCTAGGTTTTACCTATTGTAAATAGTGCTGCAATAAACAAAGGTGCACAGGTGCTCTATTGAATCACTGTTTTTTTTGTCCTTTGTGTAGATCCCTAGTAGTGGAATTGCCATCAAATTTCTAGGATTTATTTGGGTTTAGTTAAATGGTTATTTTTTTTTTCTGTAGAGAAAATCTTTTAAGTAAAGGGAAATTGAGCACTCTCCATGGCTAAAGTTAATGGTGACCACATAATCTGAATATATTGTCAATTCCTAGCTTTACAATTTTATTTGATTAAAAAATGTAAAACAATGAGTATATTACAATGTACAGAATTTCAACAAAATTAGTAGTGACTGAAGCTGTTAACATGTCACATAAATGTAGGGACTGTATTGAAAATTATTTTTTCAGCAGACCATGTGCGCAGGGAGTGCGTCCCGCATCGCCATTTTAGAACAGGGACATTTCTTCAGTAAAGATGGCTTGAAACTGCCAGAAGACTCTAGAGGAGCCAGAGGTGAGCTGGGAAGGTTGCACACGCCAGGCCCCTTCAGGCCTGCAGTCCGAGCCCAGAAGGGGAGCGGGCACCCAAGACCAAGGCAGACTGGGCATGCAGAGGAGTGCGAACCCACATTGCCTTTTTAGAGCAGGGACCATTCTTCAGTAAAGCCTGCTTGAAACCGGCAGATAGCTCCTGGAAGAGCCAGAGGTGAGCTGGGAAGTTCGCACAAGATGCCGCCAATACCAGCAACACAGTGTCCCAATGCATATGGCAAATTAGAAAACAGACAGTAGGGAGTAGAAAAACCACACGCAACCCAGCAACTCCTCAGGAAAAAAAGCACACCACAAAAAGAAAACCACCCCCCAGACTGCAACGACAGTAACTTGGAAGAACTTCTGAGCCTTCCAGAAAGAGAATTTAAAATTGCCATAATTAAAAAACTGACAGAAGTCTTAAAGGAAAACAATGATAAAGGAAAAATAATCAACTATCAGAAGAATGAAATTGAGTCCCTAAAGAGGGAAGTAAAAGAAATGCAGGCGATCAAAGAATTAATGGAGGTGCTAAAGAACTCTGGGAAAAGCAATGAAAGCAGAA